ACACATTAATGGTTCGACGTTCTAAACATCGTAGCAGGGATTCAAAATATTTAGTGATTGTTTTTGTTGTTTGCCCCAAGAGCAAAAATGGTTTGCGGCAGGCAACAACTCAACAATTATTCACTAACCCTTCGAAATTGAAATATATATGCTATTGAGTAAGGATGAAAAGCTCTATTTAATGCTGGACATTAGCGTAGCGTGTCTTTTTAAGCATTAAATTAGAAATTTTCTTTGTTAAGGGTATGTGTTATTAGGGATGGGGGCATTTTTATAAAATTTCTGTTTTTTTTTGGAAATTTGAATGATTTGAAATAATTTTTTTCTTCTTCTAACTTAAAGGAATGTATACTAGGGAGTGAGTTTGCCAAGGAAATAAAAGCTATATATTAATCAACAGATATATTATCTATTTTTGTAATAATTATGAGAAAGAATTTTAAAAATTTATATATTTATATTTCATATATTTATACATGAAATATAACTTTTAAAAGCTTTGGAAAGTTTAATATACCTAATAATTTTAAAGCTTTAAATTTTATTAATATTATTCAAGAATAAAAACATTAGGGCATTTTATACGTGTCAAAGGGGATAGATTCATTAAAGAAGCTTTAATATATAAAATTATTATTTTTATAGCATGAAATTTAAATTTTATTCAAGAAGATTATGTAGATTTTTAATTTTTAATAAAAAATATTAACTTACATTAAAATGAGGACTTAATTATTTTGTTATACCATATGTTGAATGAATTAAATTCAATTAGATTATGTAATTTTTAATAAATTCTAAAAATCTTATGAAAATATATTAATTTGTTCCAAAAACAAATTGCTCAAAAATTGAGGACTATATTATACGTTATACCATATGATATTCTGAGTAAAATATGATAAATCTTGCGGATTCTTAAGATAATGGCCAGATTCCGGATTTTTGAGACAAAATGTTCCACCCGGGCTTTTATGCACTACTGTAAAGGTACCAGAGGCAGTTCTTCCTTCTAGCTCTGATAAGAATAAAAGGATTTGCAAAGTTTGAACCAAATCGAATGATTTTTCCTCTTTCTGAGTGAAAATTACTTTGTCATTCCATTTGTAACATCCCTAAATATTCGTTGTAGATCCCATATATTCATAATCAGCTTAAAATTCTAAGTCGATTTAACGATGTCCGCCCGTCTGTCTGTCTGTTGAAATCACGCTTCAAAATGTGGCAGAACAATTTGTATTGTGTCTAGGATGGTTGGTATTGAAAATGAGATATTGGGATCGACGTTTTAGTATCGGTATTTTTACGCATTTTTTCACTGATGTGTCTCAAAATTGGTATTTGTAGGCCACAATAGTTTCTAGGCCCGGTGGCAAAAAAAAAACGTTAACGTTTTTCTATAGCCCCCATATAACGCTACCTCCCGATAGTCGGGGTTTTGATGATTTTTGGCATTTTTTGAACGGATTTGTCCAAAAATTGGTATTTGTAGTTCATAATGGGTCCTAGCCCCGGCGGCAGAACATTGAATAATTAGGTCCACGTTATTCTATGTCGCACATATAACAATAATCACCGATATTCGGTCTTTTAATAATCCTAGTCACATTTACCCACGAAATTGTTTCAAATTTGGTATTAAAGAAGAATAGGTAGATGACAATCCTTGAAGTACAAAATAGTCTGTGAAGGTTTCATTTTGATATTGTGGAGGGTATTAAAAGTTCGACCTTTTTTTACTTGATTCTTTTTTATTTCGGGCTATACCAGAAGAAGTAGGCAAAAATATCGCCTATCGCTGAATTTGATCCAAGTTTGGGCGTTTTCGGGGCTGAAACGGCACCAAATGTCCTGAAATGGATCTCGTTCAAAGAGAAGAGCATCCAAAGTCGTTATTTCGTTAACGCGCATTTTGGCCGTACAATTTAACAGAATTAAGTCAACAGAGGCGAACGTTTTTGTCCCATACAATTAAAACCTGAGACCTTCAAATGACCTAAATATATATCAAACTTTCGGAAAGAAGTTTTAAACATTTGAAATAATGAAGATAAGAAGTTACATTGTCTTCAACAAAAAGCTCAACTCCAAAGAGAGAAAATGATCAAAAACATGAAGATTTATGAAGATTTCATTGTGAAATTAGAAACCTTCAAACTAACGAAAATCAGGAGATAAAGAGATTTCAGCAGATGGTGCACCTTGATATTTTTATGAGTTAAAAACCTAGATCTCGAAATGTCAATTATAGCTAATTTGGTAGGAAAGTGAGGCTTGAATCAGCCTTGGTAAAGCTTCCTGAGCTCGGCAGAGTTTTTCATAATAAGATATTAGCCATATGTTGAGCGGCGGTGGAACTGTTCTCTTTTTTAAGCTAGTAATACCACTTTAAATAAATATCAGTGCAGTGTACTTAAAAAAGGTACTAGATATAAGTTGCGGGCAGAGCTCCGAAAAAAGGGTAAAACTCGCTCGATGTCGAGAGGAAGCACTCTTTGGAGCAGAAAAAAACAAGACGAGCAAACTCTTTTGCTTTGCTCGTTTAAGAGTAAGAGTCATTCCGTTAGTAGCACCTCGATGGGATATATATAGGTCCACGTTTGGGTATAGCCCCCATATAACTGTACCTCCCTATATTCGGTATTTTGATGATTTAAGCGACATTGTTCAACGGAATCGTTTCAAATTTCGTAATGATAGTTCGTAATGGCTATTACAGTCTGTGACATCAAATTGTCTATGCAGGTTCAGGTCTTCGTATAGCCCCATATATCGGAACCTCCCTATATTCGATACTTTGACGATTTAATTTACAATATTCACCGATTTTTTTTTTAATTTCGCATTTGAAGTTCCTAGTGGGTATTACAGCCTGTGACAGAAAATTGTCTATTCAGGTCCAGATCTTCTTATAGACCCTAAATATCGATACCTACCTATATTCGGTATTTTGATGATTTTAGCTATATTATTCATCGGAATTGATTCAAATTCCTTATTTAAAGTAGGCCCACGTCTTCGTATAGCCCACATGTAAGGGTACCTCTCGATATTCGGTATTTTGATGATATTAGCGATATTATTCACCGGAATGGTTTTAAATGTGGTTTCAGCGATTTTTTCAGGTTTCCCATTTGAATCGGTCCTATCATGTCTTCGCATTTTTGAAAATTTTTAAAAAAAATGGTGGAGGGTGATTCCGCTCCCACTCCAATTTTTCAAACAGAAGTGACTCGGGAAAGCTGTCACACACAAGAACAGAGTCAAAAGCAAACTCTGTATAAAACTCTCACTCTTCGAGCAATCCCGCTTGCCAGCAAGTTTCACTACAGAATTAAAACGATAAAATCTGTGCTCTGATTGCGGGGCACTCATCCTCTTTTATTTATTCGGTTGGTGATACCACTTTGACATACACAGAATTACAGATCAGTCGGTGAAGGGCTTATCGCCTCTTACTACACAACTTCGTTTAGAAAATTTTTATGCTCCCGAACTTTTTTTTAAATATAAACTTTAAAATGGGAGAAATTAAAAATTGAAGTGCTAAGAGAGCTACATTACCCACTAGGTACGAACTCGGAAAATTAGAAAAAATGTCAAAATCCTTACAAATTACTTTTTTTTCTCGGTCACATTTGTCTTGTAACAAGTTTTCAAATTGGGCGCCATTCACAGGTTTGGTGCTTTTGTTTGACTGTGTTTTTTATAAATTTGCCAATTTAGTACAGCGTTGTAAATGTGGTAAAAGTAGCAGATTCTGCTACTTTCTGGAACCGTTAAATTTCTGAGAAAATTAGCATATAGACAATAAGAGGTAACACATATCATCCATTTCTTACGCGATGTGTTTTTCCAAAACTATACTTAAGAATCTAATTGAAGTGGAAACTATCAAGTAATCAATGAAATATTGTCGGCAAAGTTGAGACTTAAAATTAGGACTGTAACATATGGTATAACAATTGTAGGCAAAATTTCAATTAAATAAATTATTTTTTAAATTATTTCTTTTACTCAGATAAAAAAAAAAACTTAGACGTGTTTAACTTAAATTACTCTTACTGTATACATTCCTTTAAGATTTCTTAGAAGCATACTCTAGTTTGTCAATTAAAAAAATTGTATGTAAATGAGATTCTACTGCTTCGAAGTTCATATAAAATTTAGCTAATAGCCCCAAAAATATGATTATTTTGTTTTGTGATTGTGATTTTGATCTTCGAATCTATAGGGTATTCTAATTTTTTGTAAATATATATTTTTTTAAAAAATATAGCGATAGTTTTCGAAAACTCTAAAAAAGGAAAGTTTTACTACATTTTTGGTTAATTTTTGTTTTGAGAAAACATTGATGATTTTACGTTGAACATCAATGGTGATTTGAAGAGAGGAACAATTTGTTTTTTTTTTTCTTTTTTTGGCGGAAGTTTTCAACTAATAAGTATAAGTATAACCTATGAGTACGGGTTTTTTGCTTTCTTTTTTATTTGCTTTTTGATATTTCGATAAAAGCGACACCACATTTATAGTAGGAATAAAATAGTTAAGAAAATGGGAGAAACTAAAAGGACAACTAAAATGATATTTAAAAAAAAAAAAATAAAAGCAGTAAAACGAAAACTAAGACAATAGACAAAAGAAGCTACAAATTCATTTAATATTAATTGGTTAAACCAATCTAAGCTAATTTATTTTAGAGGGTTAAAATGGAAGATAAAAGCTTTGATTTGTTTTTTTAATTTTTTCTTTAGCAATAATCTTCATATTTTTTGGTGGTTAAATTTAATTAGATAATGTACAAGGAAATTGGAATTTTTTTTCTTTATTTTTTTTTTATTAAGAAAATCTAAATTTAAAATTTATCGGAGAAGAAATTGAAACAAATAGAAATAAAATAAGGCCAAACTGAAAATTATTTTGGAGGGAGGCGGGGGATTACAACAGGAAGTAGGCAAGAAGTAGAAATAGGAGAAGAAGAAAACGAAATAAAAACTTACACAGAGTAAATCATTCCTCTTTTAGCGCCACCTTGTGATATAATACCCTGATACATAACTTCATTCCAATCTTCACCGGTTAGAATTTGAAAGACAGTCAGTAAGGCTATGGGGAAGGTGTTGAAATTTGTTTCGGGAGTTTCCGTACTAAAATTAAATTGCCCGCCAAACAATTGCATGCCAAGTAGGGCAAATATCAGTATGAACAAGAAGAGCAGGAACAACAATGAAATGATGGATCTCATCGAGTTCAATAGCGAAATCACAAGATTTCGCAGTGATGACCAGTATTTGGTCACCTTAAATATACGCAGCAAACGTAACGCTCTCAAAACGGATAGACCGAATGAGCCACCCTTAACTTCAGACCATATAACTTCGAATATCGAACCACTAATGACGACACAATCGAAACGATTAAACGACGATTCGAAATATATCCTTGGACCCATTGCATAGATCTTGATGAACATTTCCGACATGAAAAGGCCCAGAAACACGAATTCAGCATAGTCTGTAAAGAGAATGAGAATGGAAGGACAGAGTGGGAAATACAAAGAGAAAGAGAGAGAGAGAAAAGAACACATTAAAAATATTCTCCAATTAACTCAAGTTTACCACAACACAATCACAAGAGAGTATATGTGTCTCTCTCTCGGCGATCAGTTCGCTTGACTTACATAAAAAATCGGATAGATACGGCGGTTGACCATAGTGTTCGACGGCCACACACACGGTATTCAAGAACACCAGTACTATGACAAACCAATAGAACCATTGCTTCTTCACGGTTTTTCGTATCCAATAACGAAAACTTTTCTCAATACGCCAAAAACCCGTACAGCTTCCTTGAGGTTTTGAACGAGTTTTCAAATAGCCTATTGGTGGTAGAGAGTGTGAAAAAAAATGAGAGAGTGTTATTCACATGTCATAATATAGGTAAAAAAATTGAAAAATTCATAGTTTGTGTAAATGTTATTAAAACTAATGATTAGCTTTTTGTTTTGTATACATATGTGTGTGTAAGGTCGCATATATGTATTGTGAAAAGTATGTTATGATGTACTTTTTTGTTGGAAATTTCTTTCTTATACGCATTGTATAATTATTATAAGGTAACTGCTAGTGTATAATATAATCATTTTTATTTCCAAGAAGTATGATAGAAGAATCAATGTATAATTTTTATAATTTATTTTTTTTTAAATTTCGATATTTCTTTAAATTTGTTATACAACAACACTTGCTGTTTCCTTATATTCCTATACCATGCTTATATGAAATAATTTTGAAGACACACATTACTTTTTGTTCTATAAATTATTCTGGGGGTTTTCAACAAAGTCCAATTCCAATATTCTTAAATCTATGTTTTCTTAATTTGGATATTTTTTTTTATTAAAGTCAGGAGATCTAAAGGTTATTAGTATTTGCTCTTTATACCTCTAGAGGGATGTTCTGTAAATATTTTTACTACAGTAAAATATCAATGATTTTGGGTCCAGTAGTTCTTAAAATATTGCTTATTTTTGACATATTTTTGGCAACGCGTTCTTAAAAATTTTTAGTTATTGGTTTAATATAAAATGGGTTTTTAAGTTCTAATTGTCCCTTTAAAGTTCAATAACGTGCAGCTGATAGTTTATGTATGAACATTGTTAAAAATGCAAATATAACTCGGAAAATCCTTCTTTTTTTTGCTAAATAATTCATGATCGTAACTCTTTTTAATTTTTAAGAAAACCAAATTCTCCAGGATATTCCCCTTTAAAATGTTATTTTAATAGCGAACTAAAAGAAAATTATCAATTGTGAAGCCTCTTAAAAAGGTCCTAAATCTTTGCTCGGATAGTCTCTAAGAAATTCCCTGCTTTATCTCAGATGGTCCGTCGAGGATAAAAATCAATGATTATGACTGGAATTGTCCCTCAAAAATATAATTAAAAACCACTATTGTAACTCTTAAGTAACCTTAGAAATATAGCTCAACCACTTCTCTAATTTGATTATTTTCTCTAAAAACAAAATGTTTATATGTATGCATAATACAAATATTTGCATCAGCCAAAAATGCAGTAAATATTTCCAATTTTGTTGTTGAAATTTTCCTCGGCCTTATTTCGAGTAACTTTAAAATAGTTAAAATTTTATATTTGCAAAAGTTGCATCGATTTTAGGCTTTTTTTACACTTAAACTATATTTTTTTCCTAAAATTTTTCATTTGCATTTTCCCGCAAATAATTTCAATGTAGGTCTATGAATATAATTGATTGCTTGTATAAAGGTAACAAGTAAAAATCAGCTAAGTTCGGCAGGGCAAAACTCTTAATACCCTCCACCATTTCAAAGGAAATATAAATATAAAATTTTTTGTCATAGGCTGTAGTGCCCATTACGAACTTAATATACGAAATTTGTTACAATTACGTTGAATAATGTCGAAAAAATTATGAAAATACGGAGTATCGGGAGGTACTTTCATATCGAGGCTATACGAAGATGTGTACCTGCATACAATTTTTTTGCCATGAGTTGTAGCATCCATTAAGATCTTTAGCTATACGAAGACGTGACCTGCATATAAAATTTTTTGTCATAGGCTGTGCCCGTTACGATCTTCAAATACGAAATTCGAAATAATTCCGGTAAATAATGTCGCTAAAATCACGAAAATAACGAATAACGGGAGGTACCGTTATATGGTGCTATACGAAGATCTGAACCTGCATACACAATTTTTTGCCATAGGTTGTAGTACCCATTAGGATCTTCCAGTACGATATATGGAACGATTCTGTTGAATAATGTTGCTGAAATCATCAAAATACCGAACATCGGTAGGTATAGATATATCGAAATCATCAAAATACCGAATATCGGGAGGTACTGTTATATGGTTGCTATTTGAAATTCGGAACCGTTACTACAGCCTATGACACAAATTACTTATGCATGTCTTCGCATAGCCCCCATATTACGGTTGTCATTTGAGCGATATTTTTGGACGGAATATTTGAACATTTTCAAGTTTCTTCCAAATGTTAGTGAGCATAAAAAATTAGCTGCTTTTTTACCTGACGTTTTTTTTTTTTAAATTGATTCATGTATCTTTCGATGTCTAATGGAAATATGCATTTCTTTCTTGGAATCTTATGGTGGATATTTGTTGGACGATTTGCAGAATTTTAATTTCTCATTTAAAGTTAGTTTTCAAGAATATTTTTGAGGGTTAAAATTTTAGAACAAAATATTACAAAACAATACAAAAATTTGCAAAAATTGGAATGAGGTCGAAAAATTCAGCCTCAAATTTCTTTGCGATATAAATATTTAAAACTCCGATGCACCTGTTTTCTTTTTTAGCTATATTTTTATATATATTTTATAATCTGCTGTATTTTTTCTGCAATTGTTTTTCGTGTTGAACAGTGTAATGGCCACAATAGTGGCTTAACAACCAATACCAATATAAAAAAAATTTATTTATTTATTTATTTATTTATTTTTTTTTTTTTGAAAATGTAGTCTGGAAATATTTATTAAAAATATATCTTCGTATAAATCTAAAATTATAACTAATACGGGTCATCAAGTCATGTTCTTTGGAGTTACTAACGATCCTAGGTTGGGATTACATATTAATAAATACGCAAAATCTTTTCATAATACATGTATTTTTATAAAGAGGTAATACATAGGTGTAGGGGATACTTCAAAATTTTTTGACTCATTTTTGGTTAATTAATTAACAACAAAAATACGTACATTAGTATGTATTGCCTTTTTTTAAATTTTTATTTTTTAAATATATATTTTTTAATAAATTATTTATCTATAAATTCTTTTTAAATTTTGGCGTGTGTCATTTCTTTTTTCAGATTGGTATGCAATTGTTTGTTAATGATTAATGTCTATGCATATTGATGTTAAATTGAATGATTTTAAAAAGTTTATAATAATTAAGTGTAAATGGTGTAGTCATCTTCGGACTTTCAAATGTTCAATTTCTCAGCTAATATTATGAAGCATAATGTTTGCAAAGGTTTGTTTGAATTTTTTCTACCAATTTCTTTTGGGAAATGTGCAACTAGTGTTGTAGTTGTATTTCTTTTTGTATGAACGCTAACTAATTACTATTTTGTAATAGCTTTATTTGTATTTGTATTTGTATTTTTTTTTTTTTTTTTTTTTTTTTTGAAATGCTCTCTAGACCTATGAGACATAATACGATTGTGATTTGTGTATATGTGTGTGAGTGTTAAGAAAATACGTGAGTTATAATTCTTGTAATCGAAAATACTTTGTGGTAATAGTTAATTTAAAAAAACTTTGCTTTCATTTTGATGAAATCAAAATAATTTACTTACATAATTTCAATAAAAATATTCGTTGTATTTTTTTATATATTTTTTTGTTTCGACAAAGAAATTAAATAAAATTATAGAGTATTAATTGAAGTTTGTTTTGTTTTTTTTTTCGGTTATAAAATAAAGTGAAATAACATTATATAAAATTTTAACAACACATATAGAAGGAAGAAAGTAATCGAAATTAACAATTGAACGAAATCTCTTACAGTTGTTAAAACAATACATTTAGGGTAAGGTTAAGTAAAATCAAATAGAAGAAAGTTATTTTTTTATAAAGGGAGGGAACTATACAAACATTTAAAAATATAACAACGACAAAAACAAGAAGGGGATTTTCTCCTAATCTATGGACATTAAAAGGTGAACAGTATATTTTCACAATATCGAACGAAATGTTATTAAACGAATTTAAAAATTTAAAATAAATTTAAAAAATAAATTTAATTTTCAAGTAATAAATTTAATTCGACATTGTGAAATGGAAAGAAGGAGGTAAATAACGCACAAAATTAACATAGAAAATAAATGCAAGCATTAAATAAAGGATTTTAAATATTAGAAGTTACAAAGAAATTTGAAATGAGTTCTATTGAATAACACAGTTTTAACTCCAAGTTACTATTTCTTCCAATATATTTTATTAAGCAATTTTAGGCCCACAAATTGGAACAATATCAATATAACTAACTACCTAGAATCTATACATTGTAAAATGCTGAATAAAATGGTGTAGCATGCTTATAGCAAAAATGTAGAATTTCTTGCATAAAAATATCCCAGATCTGTGATATCCTGTATGTTTTAGAAATTTCATCAAATTTGGTACTTTAAACCGAAATGAGTGTTTTTTAAATACTATAACATTTCAAACCGTACAACACTCTTTGATTCTTAGAATGACCCATCCCCAGGTAAGACCCCAATTTAATATTTCAATGCAAATATATGCATTTTATAATACCTGTTGGCATTTTAGGACTTAACATATTTACATAAAAACTGATTTACTGACTGTGTGTAATTAGACGAGATCCCCATAGTAAGGGTACGAAAAATACTAAACAGTACTGCATATTACAACGTTCGCAATCTCGTAGAATAGGTGTATATAAAGCAGAGTACTGATTTATCCTTATCGCTCTGAAGGGAAACTTGCTCCTCAGCGGCAGCGCTTGTAGAGTTGAAGTTTTATACAGAGTTTTGATAAATTACATTGAAATCGGTTCAGATTTGGATATAGCTCCCATATATATTTTCGACCGATTTCCTTTATTTAATACACCAAATATGATATGTATGTTAGATTTCAATAAAATTTTGAATGAGTGTCGGAATTTCCTAAAAAATTTAATTATATAGAAATCGGTTGAGTTTTGAATATAACTTCTATATATATTTTCGGCCAATTTCACAACGAAATTTGGTACAAAAATACATTTGAAAATTATATTCAAATCAGTACAGATTTGGATATATGTAGCTTCCATATGTATTTTCGGCCGATTTCAATGAAATTTGAAATTTGTGGAGGAATTTGAACTAACAAAAAATTTTGTCAATTTATATTGAAAACTGATTTTATTTTGGTCAGCTAAACGCGTTGGCAGACCGACTGATTTCTTTGTTTTCGCTGATGAATGAAAAAAAAAATACATCGGCCGAACTTTTAATACCCTCCACCATATTTAAGGAAATTGAAAATTTAAAAAAAAAAATCCGTAAAAAATTAAACCTCTTATGTGGGGGCTATTCGAAGACGTGGTCCTTGTAGTACCGATTCCGAACTTCAAATTCGAATTTTGAATAAAAAGTGGACCTGAATTGACAACTTTCAGTCAAAGGCTGTAGTATCCATTACATGCTTCAAATACGACATTTGAAACAATTCCAATTAATAACGCCGCTAAAATCATCAAAATACGGAATATCGGGAGATATCGTTTTATGGGGGCTATACGAAGACGTGGACCTGCATAGGCAATTTTCTGTCATAGGCTATAGTATTCATTACGAACTTCACATACCAAATTTGAAATAGTTCCGCTAAATAATGTCGCTAAAATCATCAAAATACCGAATATTGGGAGGTACCGTTATATAGGGGCTATACGAAGACGTGGACCTGCACAGACAATTTTCGTTCATAGGCTATAGTATTCATTACGAACTTCAAGTGCCAAATTTAAAATAGTTCCGATAAATAATGTTGCATCAAAATACCGAATATCGGGAGGTACCGTTATATGGGGGCTATACGAATACGTGGCCATACATGGTCCATTTTCTGTCTTAAGTCTATTACGAACTTTAAATATTAATTTTGAAACAATTCCGGTAAAAATGTCGCTAGAATCATCAAAATATCGCATATCGGGAGGTACCGTTATATGGGGGCTATGCGAAGACGTGGACCTACATGGCCCATTTTAAATACCAAAAGTCCTACTTCATTTCGTTTGGAAGCTAGAGAGATTTCCACAGACGGACGGACGGACATTGATAAATCGACATAGAATGTTATGCTTATCAAGAATATATAAATTTTTTGGGTCTAAAATGTATATTTCGGGGTGTTACAAACGGAATGACAAATTTAATATACCATACTATGGTGGAAATTTTTATACCCTACACCACATAGTGGTAAGGGTATTATGTCTTTGTGCATTTGTTTGTAACATGGAGAAGGAAACGAGATAGACCCATAGTTACTTTTGAGAACCTTCATAGAATCACTTTCTGAGTCGATTTATGCATGTCAGTCCGTCTGTCCGTCCGTCCGTCCGTCCGTCTGTCCATGTATTCTTGTGAACAAAATGCAGGTCGCATTTATTATCCGATTGAGATGAAATTTTCCAAACAATATTTTTTTGGCCCAAGGACGAACCCTATTGAATTTGGTGAGAATCGGATCAAATTTAGATATAGCTCCCATATATATCTTCATCCGATTTCGGGTTAAATGTGCACCAAATGTCCACTATCAGTCCAAATTACCTGAATTTTGGCACACCCAACCGAGTTCGGCCTAGAAGCAAGTATATCAAATTTGGAGAAAATCGGTTCAGATATAGCTATAGCTCCCATATATATCTTTCATCCGATTTGATCTTTAAGTCCCTCGAATTCCTACTATGCACTCCACAACCGTGATATTTGGTACCAGGTATTAGATGGAGCACAGAAATAGCTGTTTTAAATTTTATCGAAATCGGTTCAGATTTGGATATAGCTCCCATATATATCTTCAACCGATTTCGGGTTAATTGACCACCAAATGGCCAATATCAGCCCAAATGGCCCGAATTTTGGCACATGTGACCGAGATTAGCCTTAAAGCAAATACAAAAAATTTGGAGAAAATCGGTTCAGAAACAGCTATAGCTCCCATATATATGTTTTATCCGATTTGGTGTTTAAGCCTCTCACATTCGTAATATGCACTCCACAAGAATGATATTTGGTACCAGATATAAGATACAGCCCAGAAATAGCTGTTTGTAATTTTATCGAAATCGGTTCAGATTTGGATATAGCTCCCATATATATCTTCATCCGATTTCGGGTTAATTGTGCACCAAATGGGCGATATAAGTCCAAATGGACTGAATTTTAGTACATCGGACCAAATTCAGCCTAGAAGCAAGTATATCAAATTTAGTGAAAATCGGTTCAGATATAGATATAGCAACCATATATATGTTTCATCCGATTTAAGGTTAATTGTGCACTAAATGGTCAATATCAGCCCAAATCACCTGAATTTTCGTACATAAGACCGAATTCAGTCTAGAAGCTAATACGTCAAATTTGGAGAAACCCGGTTCAGAGATAGCTATAGTTTGTAAAATGCATGATAGAATTAGATAGATTTTGATTTTGTACCAAATATCTCATAGAGCTCTGAAATGCCCTGTACAAACCTTTTTACGAGAGCTCTACTAAATATGCATAGTGGTGTAGGGTATCATATAGTCGGCCCCGCCCGACTTTTGAGCTTTCCTTACTGTTTTTTTTTTTTTGTTTTGGGAATTCTTATTAGACTTAAGTAGATTTATGTTTCAGTTGCCTTTTCAAATTAAATATTGATAGCAAATTATCTTAGAAGGAAGTGAGCGATTACATCCGATTGGCTGGTATGTTTTAATTCTAATTACGGTACGGTAAGATTTAATTTTTCCAAAGTTTCTTTCTTTTATAGGTTCGGCACCTGAATTTGGAGCAAATAATTGTATTGTCGTTTCCACATTTTCCCATGATTAACGTCAAAATTTCTAATGGACAATATTGATATATAACAATACTGGGGCTTTAGAATATTTTTCCATAACTTTTTTCAGGTCGACTCAGTTTTTAGACAGATATTTATTTATTTATTATTAACTTATTTATTTATTTTTTTTTTTTTTTTGAAATATTTGGAGTTAAAACCTATTTAAAATAGTTTACTGTAGAAAAAAATGTAAACTCTTTAAGCAAAAAAATAAACTAGTTTTATACAAAGTCAACAAACTAAAAACGAAAAAAACTTTAGCAAGGAAACTTGAAAACAGAACAAATTGAAGAGAAATCAAAATGAAATTACCTTCGGCTTTTTCGCCACCCTCTGTTTTAGTTTTGTTTGGTTGGTTGGAGATAGTTTATTGGCATACACAAAAAATCAAATACAAGAAAGTAATACAAAAATAAAAAAATGAAGAAGAAGAAAAAAATCATCAAAAAAGAAGATAGAACGAGAACAGAAAAGAAAACATACAAAATTTTACTATACAAAAACGGAATTCTAGTTTGACAAAGTGATTCTTTTTTTATAACCTAATCATTGTAAATATATAATAAAGAAGTGTACACCATTTTTTTTAACAATATTTGAAAAATATATAATTTGAAATTGCTTTTTAAACAGTCCCTAAATTGAATGCAAATTTTGAGTGGATTTTTTCAAAATATTAACATTGTTAGTAAATTGATTTGTGTTTCACTGTAAATTAAAATAATTTTTATTTGTTGTTGTGGTTGTGTTACAGGGTGCTACAAAAACATTGTTGAATTTCGTGTGTGTGTGTGTTTCAATATGCTGATTTTTTGTTGGTACTTTTTTGGTTTTGTAAATCACATTCCATATTTGCAATTCGAAATTATTCAAGTGTATTTTCATTAATTTTTTTGCATTTGTTGTTGTTATTGATTAGTTTTTGATTTGAACATTTAGTACAAGGTTTTTGTGTTTCAGACAAAGTGTGTTTGGTTTTTTATAGATATATATTTAAAAAAAAAAAAAACATTTCATAATTAACATACCATCATCGCCATAATCTTCTTCACCCTCCTCTTCCTCGGTATCGGTTGATTTCGATTTGCCCAGACTTTTCAGTTTTTTTCTTTTGGCAGCATTTCGTCTTCGTGCTAGATTTTTTTTTTTTTTGGACACAAAGAAAAATGCACAATATTAATTATTAATGTCCTTCGTGAGGTGTAGGTTTTTTTTTAATATTTTTAATTGTTTGGCAATAAATACCCTCCATTATATGCATTCTCTCCTCTTCTGTTGTACGCTCTTCGGCTAATATCACTTCCTCTGTGAATTACAAAACAGAAAAAAATAAATACACCCAAAGAAATATGTTAGTTCAATGTTCATAAAAATTTCAAATCAAAATATTATTTTTAATAAATATATTAAAATATTTTACGTTAGTGTTGTTATAGAAAAAAAGTTATGTGTTTACAAAAATGTATTGGTGTGTATGTGTGTGGTTTGTATAACTGTTAGTAGAGGTATGTGTGTGTGTGAGTGTTGTTGGTGTATGTAAACGAGTCAAGTGTTTCTTATTTTTTTTTTTAATTAACAAAATACTATACCAGCTCTACATATCCACTGAACATAGCCGTTTAATTCTCTTTCTAGTTGCTGTTGTCTTCTAAGTTTAAGAAACTCTTGTCTATTTTCTACTTTTTCACGTTCTTTTGCGAATTCACTACAAAATGAAATATTTTTGGTTGGTTGGTTTTGGTTGTTGATTTTTTTTTTTGGTTTATTATAATACAAATGAAGAAGAAATTAAATATAAATAAAATAAATAGAAAACAATAAAAATAAGCCAACGAATGAATGCGGTATGAATGCAAATGACAACAAAATTAAGTATTTAAATTTTAAAATTAAAAAAATATTTTTGCTTAAAAAATTTAACTTAAAAAACGTTGAAATGATAGTTTAATGATAGCAGAGATATATGATTTTGGCGTTATGATCGGTTGTTTTCTTCTTGCTAGTGTAAAGCATGATTATTTTTGTTGATGATTTCCGAAATATCGCATAATTAGCCAAGCCACTATCTATCGGGTCGGAAAAAGGGGTTAGGCATTTCCTGTGGATACTAAAATGGATCTTGGAGATCTAGCTGAGCATAATTTGGGGAATATATCAATACACATATCAAAATTGTTATATAAACAAGCATTTTTCGTTAAAATTAAACCGAGGAATGTTTAATAAAATACCCCTTGCATATTCTTTTTTAAAATATTTTTGATTTTGTTGTTACAAAATAGTTAAGCTAAATCCCATTTTAGAGTAGCATTAAATTAATAACTCAGTGGCGGAGACTCCGTGGGTATTGGGGGAGAGTCTTGGCATAAATGCTTGAGAGACAAAGATTGACAGACCGACGAGATGCTGTTTCGGGAACCCTAAATGATCCAAACCTTTGTGTGTGCAGATTATCAATGAATGTAGTCAGAGGATTTCAGGTTCCCAATATATTTATGACAGCCGATAGCCATAAATACTTTTAGTAACATTTTTGAAAAGATGGAAAAATCGTCCATTTCGAGTGAAATCTAGGCCCAAACCGACGCCTGCCCACAACATTGCCTAGTGTGTGAAGTCAGAGTTTCCAATATATTTTTACGGGTACTAGACTCAGGTGCCAAGATCAGAAATTTATTTCGCGACATTTGTAGGGAGGAAGAGCCAACTGCCCGGAAATGGTGAAAAAGTGCATATTCCTAGTGAAATTTGGACCCAAAGCCGACCCTGCCCACAAGACTGACTAGTTGTGCGACCACAAGGTACTTGAATATATTTTTATGGGTACTAGACTTAGGTGTTTAAATCTTAATGCCCCATAGGTAGTGATTTAAATGTACAACAACATTTCCCTCCATCTTCGACTGGCTGTTGGTGTGGGCGTATTTGCGGCCCTAGTTTAATATGTCACCATTTCGGTAAACAGCTTCACCTCAATTTGAATGACTTTTAATACTGACACGAACCACTCCCTAAAACAGGGACAGGCAAAACATGTCAGGACAAATCGAGTTTGGTTAAGAAGTTCGAGAGAAAGAAGTCCAGAGTATTCCGATAATTTGTATCCCCACATAACGGGGCTCCTAAGAAACCTTTCGAGAGTCATTATAGACCGATTGCTGGTTATTTCCCTTCCTTCTGGATAGATAGACAACCCTCTGAGACATGTTCAACCACCGTCTTGCGAACAATCAATACCGAAAAGTCCAGAGGTGTACTCCCATCAGTAAAACTGAGGACTCCGACCAGTAGTAAATATTTAAATCCAAATATGTTGTCTACCATAGGATTTTTCCTAAAGAGATCTCAAGCAGTCTTTCGAATAGCAGCACTACACACATCGAAGAGTTGAGAAACCGGTCCAGGCTCCTAAACGAAGGACGTCTGGTAAGGCCTGTTCTTTTGAAATCCTGTTATGGTAGTGGTAAATTCGAAGCAACCTTCTGAGAAAGATGTGAATGCTTGGAAAGGTGGTGAGAATACTGAATACCGGCAAGTTCTTGCTTTCAAGGCACTTCCATCAATAAAATGGATCCATCATTGGGGTCACTCCCATCAGTAAAACTGAGGACTCCGACCAGTAGTAAATATTTAAATCCAAATATGTTGTCTACCATAGGATTTTTCCTAAAGAGATCTCAAGCAGTCTTTCGAATAGCAGCACTACACACATCGAAGAGTTGGGAAAACGGTCCAGGCTCCTAAACGAAGGACGTCTGGTAAGGCCTGTTCTTTTGAAATCCTGTTATGGTAGTGGTAAATTCGAAGCAACCTTCTGAGAAAGATGTGAATGCTTGGAAAGGTGGTGAGAATACTGAATACCGGCAAGTTCTTGCTTTCAAGGCACTTCCATCAATAAAATGGATCCATCATTGGGGTCACTGAAAACCAAAATGCACTTAATCTAGAGAAGAGAATCAACAATTAGTTGGTATGGAAAACATAGTGAACCAACAAGGAGTTGCAACTTATCATAAGGAATCTGAAGTTCGAAAGGAATTTTTCTAACGAAATCGTAAGCAGTTTTCCGATAATCATGATCCCAAAATATGGAACATGTTTAGCCTCCTTAAAGAGTGGCGGTTACGGGTAGTTACATTTCATCTGGAAATATGGCAACAAGGAAATAGGGTAAAAGCAATCTGCTCAGAAAGCTGCGAAGGGACCAGAAACATTTACAGCTTACAAAAATATACGGCTTTGGCTAAGTCGGCTGAAGTACAATCTCTTAGAAACGAAAAGGGAAACCAACGTTATTTTAAGCCCTCATTGAAACGGGTGGCCTTAGATGGCATATGTGGACTTGTTCTAAGTATTTAAGGCCGAGATCTCGATAAGAGCAACCTTCTTCCTCTTATTTCCAATTTATGATTTTTGATAAGTAGAATCCCCATATATTGAAAAACTGTTAAAATTCTAAAGCGCCCTTAAGAATGGAGCTCCTGTTGAGCAAAAAATCATTAGAATGGAGGTGGGGTCAAGTAAACTTTCTAGGTAGGCTGTGAAGGCCCTGGAGTCTAAATTAACTATATCAGCTTAATGGAATGTAAGCTTCCAACCAAGACGGCTGTATCGCAAGCCCGCCAGAACACTGCGGTTTTTTTTAAGAAGGGCTTCTTGGAGAAGTTTTTTTAAAATGGCACTTGGAAATTCTTTGTACGAAATATCTCTTTTCTTCAAGAGGAAGAATCTGCTTCATTTTCTCACGTGAATCTAAAAATCATAGGTGGTGTAAAAATTAGACACTTTTGTACAGATGCAATTGGCCTCACTACCTTAGGCTAGAGTTGAAAATGTAGAAACTCCTCAATATTTTTACAATATACAATTTCTAATATCGAATTTTCTACTTTCAGCATCTTTTCTTTCATATCTTAAATTTTTTCTTAATTTGGACACAAAATATCAAAGGTCTCCGAATGAAGCAGCAATTCTTTAAATCATATCAAAAACTGTTTGTTAACAAAATATCAAGAAAGAATTTACAATCACGATAACCCTCAGCTATTTATTATCATGACGACCTTGGATCCAAATTTATCCTAAAATCTTAATCCTTTATCAAATGTATGAAATACAAATTCATTAAAACAGGCTCAAATGCGCATCGTCTCAGAAATATGTATGTATGCTGATTTATGTTCTGTTTAATGCAGTTTCATGAAATGTTTATCAAATGGTTTCGAGGGGGGTCTCATCCTATCGGTGTTAGTATAAATTTACTTGGTACTTGATTTCTGAACTTTGGTGCATCATTACACAATAGAGTTGGGTTTTGTAAATGTTTGTTGGTTGATTTGTTGTTGTTGTTTCTTTATCTTTAATACATTATTGTGCAATTACTGTGATTCGACCGCATTTACACAAATGTATGCAGTTACGTATTTCCATTTGCAAGTTGGATTATTGCTCTTCTACAGGACAGTTGTTTTGTTTTTTTTCTGAATTGCAATCATTGAATGAAAAAGAAAGGAGAATATGTAACACCATCACAAAACGTATAAACATCATTGCATCATTTACCATTCATCATCAATCAAAATTGCATTTCGCTCAACATATATAAGTATGTATGTATGTATGTTTACAATAATTTCATCAGACAAACGTATTTTGCAGCTGGTATAACACACTATAAACTAAACATTAAGAGCATACACACTATAACATACTAGGTGATTGTCGATTACACTCGAGGGCAAAAGTGTTGGCGTTTGGGTTTTTGGAATCGGTTCAGGTCAATGTCGATGATGGAAAATATGTACAATAAAATTAAAGTCCTGCGGGGCCGAACATGTGATACCCTACAACACTATAATATGTTGGAAGACTCTTATGTCCAAATTCAATTTGGAAGATTTCAATTTTGAAATAGTATCATAGAGCCTTGCCCTTATTTACGCACTTCGCTGTGTTGATATGTATTCGAAATAAATTCACAATAGTCGTGGTCCAGTTTACTGCTATATATAATTTAATGGTCATCCAAAATGCTGGGCTTTTCCCTGTACCTAACTTCCTCTTCAGAGCGACTGAAAAATCACGAAAATCCTTTTTTTTTGGTTCATTTCAACCTCTAAATATGCATCTTTATAACAGTAGGCTTTAATTCTGACACTAACGCTACCCCCATGCAACCCGTAAGGATCGGACGATAATTGCGGCATATATATATTACCTTCAACAAAACTTTAGAAAATGCACAATTCACAATTATAAGTCAAATTTAAAATATCGCATGCGACAAAACAATATGACAATAATTAAAAAAATGTAAAAAAAAAATTCACTTTTTTATTGACATATTTTTGCGCAATTTTCATAGACGTTATCCTTTTCTGGCAAGAAGCCATTCCGAAGGGATGAGACTTGTGAAAACCAGTCCCGGTTCTTGACTTATAAACGTTCTAAAGAGCATCCAATTCTTTGATTTATGAGATTGTATATAATTTGCTATATATGCGATACCTTGGATATGAGCATCGCTGTAACGGTCAGAACTGACATTTTCGTGTATATGTGATTTCGTCAGGATAAAACAAAAATCGCGGTTTACTGGAAATTTTCGTATTTTCTTACATAAAATCTATGGTCTGTTTTTCCAGCTAAATATGGACCGATGACCATCAAAATTGGTAAGCTTTGGCCCAGCCCTAAACTCTAACTCCATGCAAAATTCCGCGTCGAATGGTCTATAAATGTAGCCAACAGCAAAACCAAGATTTTTTCTGTTTTTGGTCCATTTCAAACCCTAAATATTTTGAGATAACCTCCAAAAACAATAGAGTTCTATTCTGACTTTAACCCTGCCTCCATTTTCAATTTCGTGAAGATCGGGCCATAATTGCGACCTGTAGAGTGATTACAAATCAACATGGACAGACGGTCTGGATGGACGAATATACATAGCAATATCGACTCAGCTCGGCGAGATAGAAAGATCTATACATACTTTCCTATGTGGAAAACCAATATTTAGAGGTGTTAAATAATTTTTGGCCAAATCAATCATAGTGCTGTAAGGTATAAAAAGTATTTGTCCACAACGAACCCTATATATTAGTCTGTATAAGCCTTCCCCCATTTTGAGTTCTTTGCTCAACATTTTTTTATATATTCTATATGAAAAAATCTTTTGTGTCTCGGACCATCGCTCGTTACCGCGAAACTGGTAGCGTAGCTCGGCGTCATGGAAGTATACGGGAGAAAACAGCAACATGAGCAGAAATGGTTCGAAAAGTAAAGAAGCGACTTGATCGAAACTCGCGTCGCAGTGGCCGAAAAATATTGAAAAACGAGCTCGGGTTAAAACCATTGAAATTTCAAGAAGTGCAAGAACTTACATCGCAACATAAAGAAAATAGACCCAAAAGAGCTAGTGTTGCTTCACTTGGCCGAAAGTAATGAACTGCCGAATTTTGTAAACAAACAAAACGAACGTGTTTACTTGCCAAAGATGCCAACTGAAAATGTGCACCTTCCGGTGGCCATCAGAACTCTAGCGCTGGCCATGGTGATGGTGTGGGCCGCCGTAACAGCCGATGGTAACTCTCCGCTCGTATTAATCGACAGTGGCATCAGAATAAATGCCGAATATTATCGCGAACATATTCTGGAGGGTGTATTAAAACCTTGAGCGCCCAAACATTTTGGCCCCAGACCTATGGACATTCCAACAGGACTCAGCACCATCGCACTCAGCACGCGCCACCCTAGAATGGTTACAAAATGGGGTGCCTCGATTCATTTTCAGCGCACAATGTCCACCAAAATCTCCGGATTCTAATCCGCTGGATTATTGTGTCTGGAATATTTTGAAATGCAAGGTTGGCACTAAAAAATACCAAAGTGTCGATCAGCTCAAGCAAGCTCTTCGCCGGGAATGGGCCAAAATACCGCAGGACAACATTAAGGCAGCGTGTGACGTGCCAAAGGTGATCAATTCGAACAAATCTAAACTTTTTCTATAATTTGATGCTATTTTTTGCTTTCATTCAATAAAATTGAAAAAAAAAAATTAAAGGTTATAGCGTTTGCCTTTGTTGCAGTTTTTTTATCTCTCCCTGTCATACGTTTATTAACATTTTCAAGACTATAAGCTTTGTGTAATTCGAGAGATATATTCGAATATATCCAAACTTACATCTGAGAATTATATCCCTCTATAGTTAAATTATTTTAAAATGAACAAAATATTTTTTTTGTTTTGCATTGGACCATTAGAACATAACTTCCACACAGAGAGTACCACATCGAAATAGCTCATTAAGATCTCTCTCTCTCTCTCTCTCTCTTTGAGTGAAATCCATTGTAGGATATTCAGAGTTGATTTTGATTGAATTCTAAGAGTGAATTGATATATCAGTACAATTACTCTCCTACATCCCCTACAGTACATATAATTTGTGCCAGATTTTCTTCAAATTTCGCAAATCCCAATATCTCTGGAAATATTAGGCAAGTGAGAGATCGAACACTTTCATTCAATTTTTTTCTTATTTTTCATTTCATTTAATTCTTTTAAATTCGAAATCTGAGTTTTGCTTAATTTCAAAGGTTAAATCCCAGAAAAAAATGATTGGCCTAACTAAAATTTTAATTTAAAATAAAATCCAAACAAACCCCTTATTCTATAGTCCACATTAACATTTTAGGTTTTTATTATTATTATTATTATTATTATTTATTTATTTTTCTTTTTTTTTTTTTGAATATGAGTACCTACAAAAATTCCATCCTTTTATCAAAGACATCGCTGATTCCAGAAACCAACACAGAACAAATTTGTATCAAGTGTAATCATTTTGTTTCACAAAAAGGGGTTGACTATCTATTTTTGGAAGGGCGGGGGCCGGGAAAGTATCTGTTTGGATGGTGGCAGGTGGGGGTCGTAAAATAACATTCGGTTTTATTTATAGAAGTGTGTTTTATTTTTGTTTTTTTTTTGGTTGATTTTGCTAGAGACACATGTATCTTGCTGTTGTTGTTGTAGTAGTAGTTGTTGCTGTTACATTTCAAAAGGGTGGAGAGGGGTTGATGAAAAACTGCTGGAGGGACATTAGCTTTAATAATTTTGGTAACTGTTGTAGCTTTGATTACTAATCAACCGAATATTTTGTATGGCGTATGGGTTTTTTTTGTATCTGTTTTTTTTTTTTGTTTTTTGGGTTTTGGGTTTTGCTTTAATTTGGCATAGAATTATTTATATAAACCTGCTTCTGTTATCCAATCAAGGTATGAGACCATGGCCGTTTGAAACATGGTTTTAAAACGACATTTCTGAAATTCCATGCGACGTTCGACGCGATTACGTTCATTGGAAAATTCACTTGAAAATAAATTGGCAATTGAAAAGAAATTCAATAGAAAATATTATTTTTGTTTTTTTTTTTTTTCTTAAAAAAATAAGGAAACAGAAAATATAAAACTCAAAAGCAAGGCATAAAAGTAACTTAAATAAATAAATTGAAATATAAATTAATATAATTAATAGTTTATATTTACATTGTAAAATCTTAAAAAAAATTATAAGTTTTGGCAATGACTTACCCGCTAAGAACACCAAGAACTAAGTTGAGCATAAAAAATGAGCCTATAACTATAAGAGGCACGAAATATATCCAATTAAATTGTGAACCTAAAGCATCGTTGGTCTGCAAAGAGATTTTTGAGGGAATGTGCAAAGAAATTGAAACGGAGAAGAAGAAGAAATTTAATTAATAATTATGGTTTAAGGTTTGAGTATCTTTGTGGGATTTCAGGTTTGAGGGAGAAATAAGCAATTTTTTTTATTTAATTTATTTTTTTTTTTAATAAAATTTAAATTCTCAAAATTGCTATATTTCTCATTTTATAAAAATAAAATTTTTAAATTAAAATTAATATCAACAAATTTTTGTTAATTTAGTTCTACATAAATACAATGGCAGTGATGATTTATTTTGTATATTTACATGAAACCCCAATTCAATTCATGGCTCAATGACATGCCGTTAAGTGTAAAAGCAATAACTCATAAAATCTGGCAAAATGTTGTGATCGACAACTGATGGGCAATTAGATAAAGGATTTAGGAAAATGAAACTGTGAATAATTGTGGTAAAAATTAATTTATTTATTTATCAAATTACTTGGCTCAATTGGTTATTGTGGGTCAAATTTTCGAACAGAAAACAGAAATCTATTTCAATTTTTAATATTTTTGAAAATTTTTAAAGCAAATACTTTTTTTCAACAAAAATTATTTGTGTGTGCGCTGAGTGTTTTTTGGAGATACGAAATGAGAAATTTAGTTTTTTCTTTGATTTAAGTTATTTTCGACTTGGGTCCAATAATTTACCAATTTCAGAATGATTTCAATCTCTAAAATAAATAACAACTCAAAATGATATATATCTCTTTAACAAACTACTAAATATATATTAAAAACTGGTTTTAAATTTAAAATTGACAAAGTTCTGACAGTGATGCATTTTGCAAACAAAAATGAATTGCTGGAAATTTGATTTGAAATTTTGTTTAATTTGTACCTAACGTAAAATATATGCAATAAAAAAAAGATCAAGACTGAATTTTTTATCTGAAGATCTAAATTTAAAATATCGAATTACTTCATATATAAATACGAATTACTTCTTCTAATTATTATATATTTGGGGACATGTGCGTGGCCACGGTTCGTGTTTTGTTTCACTGTCAAACCTCTTCGGCTTGGTCTATAATTTAGAAACCAACAGCGAATGAATTTTATAATCAAAATGCCTGTTCTGCTAAGAAAAAGTCTATCGCGAGGTTCTTTAGTCCCACTGAAGCGAATATTCCGGCAACTTTAACTACATTTCGAATCAAATTTGTAAATTTGGAATGAAGATCAGCCAAGAGCTACCAATGCATCCAAGAAAATAATTACAGTTTTTTTTTGAAATGTTTGGGTTGGTGGCATAAATGGGTTATCTTCCCTTCATCGAAGATGCTGGTAATCATAGCTCTCACAGACGTAGTAAAGCGTATTTTTATCCTGAGACAATTGCAGAATTGGGACAGTCAGGGCAAAACAGGCGACAAATAAACATCAATCGACGTGAGTAACTTATTTTAAATTAACCATGGATATCCTTTTTTGGAATACTTATTCAAGTCTATAAGTCTTGAATCCTTAAATCCCTTCAGTATCGTTAAAATCCCTGTATATCCTTGCATATCTTTCCCGATTACATATAAAGGTCTCTCACAGATGCAGCCTCTCATATCCTTGTCAATCCTGTTAGACTACTTGTTAAAATTTCTCACAGTCGTAGTCTATCGTATTCTTGTCGATCCTGCCAGAGACAATTGCAGAATTGGGACTGGCATTTCAAGGCAGCAACCCGTGAACTTCAATCGACTTTGAGTGACTAATTTAAAATTAACCCTTCCTTAGAGTACTTATCAAGTTCTTTAAGTCCTGAATCCTGAGAAGAATACTTGAGTCCCAGTAATCCTTAAAACTCCAGCGTATCCTTGTAGATCCTGCCAAAATACATATTAAGATCTCCCGCAGACGTATTTTAGCAAGATCCTGTCTGAGCACTTATTAAAGCCTCTGGCAGGCCTAGCCTAGCATATCCTGCCTGAGTATTTATTGAGGTCTCTTCCTATCCTTGTAGATCCTGTTTGAGTACTTCCATCCTTAGCTTTGCATATCCTATAGAATTGCTTAAGTTCTTATTAAGGTCTTTTGCAGCCATACCACTGCATATTCTTGTAGATACTGCCTGAGTAGTTATTATGATTTCGACAGACGTGGCTTCTTATATCCTTGTAGTTCTGGCTTCAATTCTTATAAATGTCTCCTCTTATTCTTGTAAGAATTTGCTTAAGTACTTTTATGATCTCTTTCATACCCTGTAGAACTGCTTTAGTACGTTTTAAGGTCTCTTGCTATTCTTGTAGACATTGCTGCAGTTTTTATTGAGGTCTCTCGAAGCCGTTACTTCGCATATCCGTTTAAGTCTGGTTCGAGTACTAGTTAAGGTCTCCTATATCCTTTAGATCTTCCTGAGCACTTATAAAGGTCTCTTACAGCTGTAATCTTAAATATATTTTGGTGGAATTACTCGAGTAATTATTAAGGGTTCTGACAGCTGTTGCTTTGCATATCCTTGCTGAAATGCTTGAGTACTTGTTAAGGATTCTTGCATCTGTAAACGCTCATATCCTCATAGTTATGGTTTGAGTACGAATTAGGACTCAAGGTCTCTCACATATAAATCCGTATGGTAGTGATGAATGAATCATTTTGAATCCTGAGAACTGCAGTATCTCGTTGTCCCGTGACACAAGTGCCTATCCAGATCTCGAGTGGAGGAACCTTTGTAAACCCAGCTAGAATAGCTTACATTTACGATGTCTTTCACTTTCTGTTTCAAACGGAAAATTTTCAGTTCGAACTTTTGAATCCTGACAAGTTACTCCAGCCTAAAGGCGAAAACCTGTCGTTACAACATTAATGAATCTACCCCGAAGGGGAATTGGGCCCGTTCCCAATTCGAGTTCGATACTATTTTTACATTTTTGTACATTTCGCATGGGAAAATTCGTTTTTTTAACAGTTGGGCGTCACAGTATAGCATTTCTGCGTAATTCTGTTGTAACATGTGTATCTTACTTAGGTTGGACGCCATATCTGAACAAATCGACCCACTTTATCTTGGTATCCTGTTCACAGAAGGTAAACCGTTCTCGAAAATAAACACTAGCTCTGATGGCCCCTTCAACTTCATACCATCAGATTAATGCCTTTGTAGATATTTTGACATTTGTTTCAGCGAAATTAAAACTGTAAACCTCATATCTTTCTGTTCGAAATCCATATGCGGTCGTTTTACAAAAAAAGTCATATTTTCTATTTTTCGGTTCCCTGGAATTACAAATTTCAAACAAAACATGTCAATGTTACATACAAATTTTGAATACATAAAAAATTAATACTTTTTTGAGATTTACGAAACCCATCAAGTTTCCTCCCCCTGCTCTCTTCTCGTCAACAAATCAGCTCGGAAGGGAATTAAATCAGAAAAATCCAAATTATTTTACCAATTAAATCCAATAACTATCACATTGCATTACCATTTGCAAAAATTTTGAACAAAATTCATTTTATGCCCTAGAAAATGCATCAGAGAGAACTTCGAGACATCATTCACTTATAGCAAAATTAAATTAAGTGAAGTATTTTATATAATTAAAATTATTTTTTACGTTAAAAATATATATAGAGCGCTACCGATATACGATAGGCAATTCTGTATTAGGTAAATTATTACACACTCATTGGGACTTAAATACATTACTCGTATGGACTCTTCTTTAAATATTTTTTAAACCCAACTCAGCTTACGAAGATTAAGATATGAACATACCGACATATGTACCTAATGATCCGGGTATTTATAAAAATAATTTGCACACAAGTTAAACAGGCGTTAATCAGATCATACGTACAAAAATATTCTCAGTTAGTATGGAAAGGAAAAAAAATCGATTAAGTTTGAATTGAGCTTTCTTTGTTGTTGTTGTCGATTTTACCACAATATTAACAATGAATTTGTTGAAAGAGAAATCTTAGTAGACGAAAGAGGCCTAGATTTCTTTACAGATTTATAAATTATTTTCCCTTTATATTTAGTTATTGCATATTTGAGATAGTGTTTGGCAGCGATACTGAAAAGTAGTTGGCGTAATTGCAAGAAATCGAAATAAATTTATAATAGATATAACAAATAAAGATTTTGTTCCAAGTTTTGGAAGGACAAAAGAAAAAAAAAGAAACAAATACGAAAATTAAAAACATGGCTTTTAAATACATGGCTTTTAAACATGGCTTAAGACCTATCATAGGGGTTTCAAGGAATTTCACATAGAGAAGTCTACGCGTTGAAAAACTATTGAAATTCTATTCGGATAAAATACTTCCTTGAGAGCTTTTACGGATGAAATATGACATAAAATACTTCTTTACCTCATAAAGAAAAAAACCTCGTCAAGCTTTTCAATGGGAGGCCTGGAAAAAAATAGTAAAAGTCTTCTTGTGTAATTCTTCTCCGAATTCCGATGATTATCTCGTAAAGAAGAGCTTTACTCTATATGATTAAATTTTACAGTTCTTCTGGGTATAGAAGTTCTAAAAAATTTTTTAAGACCCTTTAAATGCCTTCTTCCCATAGGAAATACTTAAAGAATTTGTATCCGATGGAAGATCTCATAAAGGCCTTTTACGGATATTAGATGTCGGAAAATATCTTTAAAATCTTCCTCTTATAGATCTTCTGGGTATAGGTGCCGTGAGAATTACTTCTCAGCATAGGCATAGAAGAGCTCTTCGGCAAAATACCCTTAAAGGCCTTTCTCCCATAGAAAATACCTATTTGGAAGATCTAGTAAAGGTCTTCTTCGGATATAAGATCTTGGAAAAATGTCCTTCTCCGATTAAAGGCCTCTTGAAAGTTTTCTATGTATTGAAAGTATAAAGTCTTAACCAACTAGAAAAATCGTAAATCATCGATAGAAAACCTTCTTCAGTTTGGACAAAAGTCTTCGCGGTTCTCAAAGTTCCTTTTCAGATGATAGGACTTTCAGACCTTCTTTGAATAAAAGGCCTTTCAAATGTCTTTTTCTGATTGGGTACATCTCGGAGAAGAAGACATCGCTCTGATCTTCTATGGAAAGAACCCCTTTTCGAGATCTCCGTCGGTAGAAGGGAGAGAGAGTAGAAAAAAAACCGTAGAAGTCTTCTTGTGATAAAAAATAAACTGCCTTAAGTCCATCATTGTATGGAGAACCTTTGAAGCTCTATTTTGAATGGAAAACTTTTCAGAAAAGAAGGCACCGCAATGGACTTTTCGACCTCTTCAACATCTTCATTGGATAGAAGACTTTACAAGGGTCTTTATCGGATAAAACACCTAATAAAAGTCTTCTGTTTATAGAAGACTCCTTAAAGTTCTACGTCGGAAAGAAGACCCCTCAAATGCCTTCTTCTGAGAGAATCGGATCATAGATTTGCTGGGTTTTGGGAGCGAAACTCTCCTCGAAGAGTAATCTCACTCTTCACTCCATTGAAAAAAAATTGAGTGGGATCTAAATTCGCTCGAAATCGTAGATTCATTCTTTTTCTTATTCGGGCGACATCGAAAAATGGGGTATGCTCGTGTAAAGAGTAAAACTCACAAGAGTTTTTAAGAGTTCTGCATAACTTTTCAATGTTTTACCCCGAAAGAAGGCCTTCTAAAACGGGACTTTAAAAGTCTTCTTCAGGGCGAAGAATTGTAAACGCTCATTTTAGCATAAAATGACTTTTCAAATGTATTTTCGGGATAGTATGCTTCTAAAATGTCGGATGGAAGATAGATAGAAGATAAAAGACACCCTGAAGAAAAAATTCGGAAGATTATCAATCTGAAGGTAATCACTTGGTGGTCTCTACAAAAAAGGACTTTCCAAAGTCTTTTATAAAAAAAAACATTTTAAAATTATAAACTTAAATAATAAAATATTTCTAGCAAACTACCAAATACTCTTCAGCTTTTAAGGCTGCCTTGAAAACATTTTTTCCTTAGCCTAAGCTTAAGCACAAGGAAATGTTCGAAATTAGGAACAGGAAAGCCATAGAAGCTTTTGTATGCATCAACCTTATTATTTTAGGAAAATGATTAAGAAAAGCTTTTCAGTATTAGCACGAAGTTTTGGTTTTCATATACTTATAAAAATATTCAGGTATAAAAATGGGATTTTCTTTCTAGCTTATATTACATTGAAGAAGTTACAAAGATAGCGAGTTACATTAGAGTATTGGAAAGAGAGAAATAGAGAAATACTTGGGAACTCTTTTGGTTTTTCTTTTTTTTTTTTTTTTGTATTTTTGGTTTTGATTTTGGAAATTGAATTTTAAATGTCATTTACCCAATACAGTATTGCTGTCCAGCCTTCCATAGTGATACATTGGAATACAGTCAACATGGCAAAACCGATATTGTCAAAACTAGTTATGCCAGAATTTGGTCCATCCCATTTTTCCAAACACATACTCGTCGTATAATTACATACATATGAACCACCTGATTTATCTGTGGCGTTATCCGTATTACACGGTGTTTCTGATTCACCTTCTTTTACAGGCTTATCTGGAAAAAAGAAATGAACACTTGTGAGATATTTTATGATTTGGTTTTTGGATCACACCGGAAGTGTATGATTTTGTTGTTTTTTTTTTTTTAGTTTAGAAACATGGCAAAAGGGGATTGAATCCTTTTGCCTTGTTTGTTATTTTTATTCTAAATGTGTGGTTAATATTTATTGTTGTTGTAGTTGTTGGACGATAAATACTTGGATCTTCTAAACTATAACAAGTCTTATGTAAAGCACCCGAATAGAACTCGAGTCCAATGATGGCAAATATAACGATCGCAAACAACACCAAGAGACCGATTTGCAGCAACGGTGCCATTGCTTTTATAATGGACTTTAAAACTACTTGTAAACCTGGAAATATTGAAAAATTGTTTCAAGAGAGAAAGAGAGAGAGACACAGATATTAAGGGGGAAGAGAGAAAAATATATTAGTATATGATCTTGACAGTAAAATTCATTTTGTTTAAACAATTATTGTAACTAAGGCTACTTTATGTTTTTTTCTAGACACTTTTTCACTAATAACAATTAAATTAAAACATTAATTTAAAAAATAATATTTATTTTATCGAAATAAAAAATTGCTACAACTTAAAAATATTATTTTTTTTGCTAATTTTTTATTAATTATTAAAAATATATATTTTGTTTTATACTAATGATTAATTAACTACTCACTAGGAATTCCAGAGACTAATTTTAAGGGCCTTAGCACACGTATGGCCCTAAGAGTTCTTAGATCTACTTCGGGCCCTAATTGTGGGAATTGTGTCATGAATCTGCTCATTTATGAAGCGGATTGGATTGGTTTTCAGATTTTCAGTTTGTTATGATGGTTTTGCAACATTGTTTTGTTTTTTAGCAATAGCAATTCAACAATTGGTCAATACGAATAATTTTTTGAATATTTTTTGAAATGAAAAGAGAAATTAAAAAAAAAGAAAAATATATGTTGTAGATATATGTATATAATTATTTATGATAAATATTACTATATGTTTCTAGCATCTAAAACTATGTTCAATCAAAATTAATGAAAATAATAATTTAAGTATTTTTATTTGGTTGTTAATTTTGAAAAATAATATTAATGGAAAACCAAATGGCAAAAAATTATTTTGTTTTTTTTTTTAATAAAAAAGCTACATTCAAAGCAAAACGACAAATCAAACAGAAAATCATAAGAAAACAGTAACAGAAAGGATTCAAGAAATTATAGAATAAAATTCCACACATTCCGCGTAAATAGAGACTCAAGCAGATGAAACTAAAATTGCATTTTGTATTTTTTTTTTTATTTCAAATTATAATAGTGATATTATTTCTCTATGTGTTTTGTAAAAATTGAAAGCACTCGGTATATTGGAACTAAAAACAAAAATATGTTTTCGGCTAAAAAAAATTATATTTAAAAATAAAAAATTAGTTATCACTAATTAGTGTATGGTATGGAAGAACTCAAAAAACAAAATCTATTTTAAAAATATTTGTTGTAATGGTACTGTAGAAGTAGCAAATTTTTTTGATTGGAAAACTAATAAAATTTATTTTTATTTTATATTTTTTTTAGCAGTATCTAAATACCGAGTTCTGCAGCTATCTATGTTTATAGCTCTTCCGCAACTAGAGTAAAAACTAAATATATTTCCTTATGTACTAATAACAATTTGAAACGTTTTTTTCCAGAAAAAAAGTTATTCGTGATGAAATTCAAGCGTGATAGTGTGATTTCTTTTTATTTGGTTGGGAAACCACAAGTGGCTGTCGTTAGAGCACTTCAGGAAGTCACGTCAAGGAAGTGGGCGGAAGAAAACAGCAACATCAGAATGGTTAGAAAGAATGGTTAAAAATGAGATTCCTCGCTTCATGTTCAGCGCACAATGACCACCAAAATCTCCGAATACCAATCCGTTGGACTATTGTGTCTGGAGTACTTTGGAAAACAAGGTTGGCCATAAAAAAATCCACAGTGTCGATCACCTCAAGCAAGCGCTTCGCCGGGAATGGGACAAAATACCGCAGAGCAACATTCGGGCAGCTTGTGACGGTTTCATTGGCCGTTTGAAGGCCATAAAGCTATAAATTTGAAGCTATTTCCGACATTTCTTGATTTAATGCAATAAAATTTTAAAAAAAATATGCTGTTTGACTTTGTTGCAGTTTTTTTATCTCACCCTGCATAGTTAGAAGAACTTCAAAAAGCTACATGTAGTCTTAATCAGCCACAGGTCTTTCCAAGTATCACCTAAGTAGCCAGAGGTTTTATATTGACGAAATGTCGTCTAAAGGTCTTATACACAAACTGAAGAACTTATGGGGGTTCTACGTGGGCTAAGGTAATTAGATTACCTAGTTCAGAAAAAAATCCTTCTAAAAGTCCTCTTTAGGTAGACCCTATGGATGGACGATATTCAACGTATCCTCTAAAGATAAAATGCCTTCGAGGGTATTCCAAAGATAGGAGAACTTCTGACGGATGCCTAGAGATAAAAGACCGAAGGCCATTTGAGAGTCCTCTATAGACGAATGGCCTTATATGGGTGTTCCAAAGACAGAATCTTCTTCTACACGCAAAAGGCCTTCTGAGGGCCCTCTATTGTTAGAAGACTTTCGTCGAGTCTCCCATAGACTGAAGATGTTATGAGGGTCTACGATAGAAAGACCAATGGATTTTTGAATTTTCCTATAGCTCTGAAAAGATTTAGACCTTTGATATCTTCTGGCATCTATTTTCGATTTTTATGACAAATAAACTTATAGAATATTTTGAATTGCTAAAATCCATTTAAAAAGGAGTTTCTTAAGCCTATTTTAAAATAAACAAGTAAAAAAGCTGTAAGTTCGGCCGGACCGAACATTGAAAACCCTCCACCACTTGGAACGAATTTGGCGTGTATCTGCACAGACAATTTTCTGTCGTAGGCTGTAGTATCCACTATGAATTTCAAATACCAAACTTGAAACAATTCCCTTGAATAGATTCGCTAAAATCATCAAAATACCGAATATCGGGAGGTACCGTTATATGGGGGCTATACCAAAACGTGACCTACATGGTCCGTTTTCAATACCAAAAGTCCTGCACACATGACATACATTTGAGCAAAATTTTACCTTCTTCAATTCGTTCGGAAGCTAGAGTGATTTCCACAGGCGGACGGACATCGCTAAATCGACATAGAATTTTATGCTGATCAAGAATATATATACTTTGTGGGGTCTAAAATGTGTATTTCGAGGAGTTACAAACGGAATGACAAAGTTAATATACCCTCCATAGAATGGTGGAGGGTATAAAAAAGGACCAAGAAGTGAGTGGAGTAAAGGAGTGAGTTTTAAAATTTTCGATCAAAATAATTACCCTATTGTTATTTGTAATATTTTCGAAGACACTGTATACGAAAAGTGTAAGGATGATAAAATTCAAATTGTAAAATCCGAACATTTAAAAAATATGCGTTTCTTTTATTGTTTGCACAAAAATTTATTATTATTAGTATAATTATTTTTTATTGTAAAAAAATGAAAGCAATGACCATTGTCGTACCTTTTAAAAAATCTATTATTTGCATTGTATTTAATAATAAACCCATTAATTTGTTTCAAATTGTTATTAGTTCTAGTCTACGCATCTTATACTATATCTAGGATCTTAAAACATAAAATGATATAAAAAAATAGAAAACAAAAAAATTATAGAGACACACACCTTCTTATTTTAATGATTTAGGACATTTTTTATACTCACTAAATAAAATATTTTTTTCGAGCTTTCTAAAACACTAAAGTATATTTAGAAATTAAATTGTTGGTTTATGAGTCACACACACATTGAGTAGAGCTAGGAAAATTAATCAAAGATCAAACTAATGATGAAGAATTGTACCCTAGCGGTTTTTATTTCTCTTCTTCTAGACACGATAGACGCAATGGTATTGTAAAGAAAAATTATAAAATTGATTTTTAAGAATTTTTTTTTATCAAATATTTAGGCGGCTAAGATTTTTAAGGTAATTTCGATTTTGAAAGAACTAATTTCATCCTACACATTAATAATTAATAGTTCTCAGTGATTCGATTTGAGTTTTGATAGAAAATTTATTGAAGCTTACTTGGAATTCTTGAAACAAGTTTCAATGGCCGTAAGACACGAAACGATCTTAACATACGTAGATCGACATCTATGTTGGCCTCGGCAAAGATTGTCATGGCTCTAATGTGGGTGGTGGGTGGTTTGGTTGTTTGGTTGGTGTGTGTGTTTGTTTCGGACCGACCCACAGGTTATTGGAGGGAAGGTGTACAAAAATCATTCATTCGAATTATCGGTCATTTGTTTTGGGACGCAACCAACGCGGCGAGATAAAGTTGTGAAAATTATAAAAAAATAGAAAGAAAAAAAAACAAACAAATAAAAAAACAAAATGCGCAAATTGAAAAAAGACGGAGACAGAAATCAAACACAAAAATGGCATAATGCAATAAAAATAAAACATTTCACAAGAAAGTTAATTCATTAAAAATAAAAACAAAAGACAGACAGCAAGAGAGAAGAAAGAAAGCGTTAGAAACGGCTCGAAGACAAAAACCAAAGAATAAAACACAACAAAAGAGTCATGGTGTTAAGGGGGGTTTGAGGTTTGTTGGAAAATATGATTCTTTAAAAGAAAAAAAAGAAGTAAAAGAAAAAGTATCGGTTTTTCAAAAAACGCATACTCAAAGAATTGGGAGAGTTGTAGATTATCACACAAACACTCACAAGAACAGAAATTAGAAAAGAAAAGTGTTAATAAATATTTGAAAAAAAAATAGGTGTTGTTAACAAAACAAGAGAGATGTTAGTAACAAGGAAACAAAGTGGTTTGGCGTTTTTTGCAGACACAATGGCCAGATTGGCCAAAAAACAAACAGAAGTGATTAAAAAAAATAAATAAAAAAATGTTTTTTTTTTTTTTTAAAGGGGAAACATGAAAAACTTACCCCGTCACTACTACAAAGAAATCCATGATGTTCCAAATATTCCTGAGGTAGGAGTGTTTATGCAAAACTAGACCTAAGGCAAGGATCTTGAGCGATGCTTCTACACAGAAAATGCATAAAAAATAGGTCTCCGTTTTTTCCTAGATGGGAAGAAATAACAAAGAAGGTCAAACATTTTTTTTTTTTTTGTTTTAATTCAATGAAAATCAAGTTTGCCAGCATTTTTGCCACCAAAAAACAAAAAAAAAAAAAAAATCAATTAAACATTAATTTATGGCAACAGCTGGCCGGCCATTGGCATTTTATGCCTGCTCTTCTGGGCCACTAACTGTTGCAACAAGCCATGTATCCTTTTTTCGTCCTGCAAAGTGATATTTTTTTGCTTGTGTGTGTGTGTGTGTGTGTGTTTTTGGCACTTGGTACTTACCAGCTTTTGGGCCAATACTGTTTTATCACACTCAGGCAAATGTTCTTCTAATGCCAACACAACGCAGTTGGCAATGATTGTCAATAACACAGTGTACTCGAAGGGCGGCCATTCTATTATGAAACGTGTGTATTTTCTAATTGGATTATCCTCGGTGAGGATAAATAATGATGTGGGACCACCACCAGGTGGTGTCTCTTCTTTCTTTGGGCCACCCATTCTATCAGCTAAGCGATGGGCTCCCCTTCGACCCGAGTGCCCCCCGCTTGTGGAGCCCTGTTGATGCCCTGCTAGCGCCGCTTCCTGAGCCGCTGCCAACCTGCAATAAAAAAGTAAATAGACATCATCAAAAAAAGGATAATTAATATTCCGCCGTAGTTACTTATTTAATTTTATTATTTTTTATTATTATTATCATTGTTGTTGTTGTCGTGGCTGTGGTTTTTAGTGTTTGGATTCTGTAAAAGTTGGATTATTATAAATCAAATGGCTTTTGGCAATGTCAATTTATTCAATTTGTAGGCTAACCGCTTTATTTGTTGGTTGCATTTTTATTATTATTTTATGGTTGGCAGAAGAATTTGAATTTTTAAGTTTTTTGTTTTGATAAGAAATTTTATAAAAAATACAAGATTTTCTATATTTAAACAAAAAAGCCTTGATTTGATTGTAACAGGGCGATTTTTACTGTCTTCTATTAGAGGAACTCTTTAGTCGTCTAAAAAACATAAATGGATTGTAAATATAAAAACAATATTTATTAATTTTTGAGGGTCTTAAAATGTAATCGCCGATAAAGCTCATTTTGAAATACAGGGTGCGATAAAAAAACTCCAACAAAGTCAATCGCCATAATTTTTACATTTTTATAACCTCCACCATTCTATGGAGGTATATTAACTTTGTCAATCCGTTTGTAACTACTCGAAATATTCATAATGTACCCTACAAAGTATATATATTCTGGATCAGCGTAAAATTCTAAGACGATCTAGCGATGTCCTTCTGTCTGTCTGTCTGTTATAATCACGCTATCTTTCGAACAAATTGAGGTAGAAGGCTAAAATTTTGCAGACATTCATAGTTTAGATGAAGGCAGGTTAAGTTCTTAAACGGGCCATGTCGGTCCAAGTTTTCGTATAGCGCCTATATAACGGTACCTCCCGATATTCGGTATTTTAATGATTTTAACGACATTATTTACCCGAATTATTTCAAATTTCGTATTTGAAGTTCGTAATGGGTACTGCAGCCTATGTCAAAAATTTTTGTATGCAGGTCCACGTCTTCGTATAGCCCCCATATGACGATACCTCCCGATACTCCGTATTTTCATGATTTTAGAGACACTATTTACCAAAATTATTTCAAATTTCGTATTTGAAATTCGCAATAGGTACAGCCTATGCTTATGACAAAAAATTTTGTATGCAGGTCTACGTCTTCGTATAGTCGGTATTTTGACGATTTCAGCACCATTATTCACCGGAATCGTTTTAAATTTCGTATCTTATTGGGTACTAAAACTTATGACAAAAAAAATATCGTAAGCAGTTCCACGTCTTCGTATAGCCCCCAATATGACGGTACCTTCCGTTATTAGGTATTTTCATGATTTTAGCGACTCTATTTAACGGATTTATTTCAAATTTCATATTTGAAGTTCCCAATGGGTACTACAGCCTATGACACAGATTTTTGTATGCAGGTTTACGTCTTCGTATAGTCCCCATATAACGGATTTCACTTAACGGCTTTCATGGTGGAGGTTAGGAAAAGTTCGGCCCGGCAGAACTTATCTGCTTTTTTACTTGTTCTCGAAAATATCATCAAATTTAAGAATAAGTTTAGATTTGTTTGAATCTGTCACCTTTGGCACGAATTATGGCCTTCAAAAGGCCAATGAAACAGTCACACGCTGCCCGAATGTTGGTCTGCGGTATTTTGGCCCATTCCCGGCGAAGCGCTTGCTTGAGGTGATCGACATTCTGATATTTTATAGTATTTACTCCAGACACAATAGTCCAACGGATTGGTATCCGGAGATTTTGGTGGCCACTATGCGCTCGAAATGAAGCGAGGATCCTGCCTTTGTAATCATTCTTGAGTGACGCGTGCTGAGTCCTGTTGGAATGTACCAAGCCCAAGGCTTTAATACAGCCTCCAGATGCCACGGTCGATTCATACGAGCGGAGAGCGACCATCGGCTGTTATGGCGGCCCACATCATGGTGAAAGCCTGCGCTTGAGTTCTGGTGGCCAACCGAAGGTGCACATTTTCAGCTGACCTCTTTGGCAAGTAAACACGATCATTTTGTTTGTTTACAAGCTGCTGGAAAACGAATGTTTTCTCATCGGAGAAAACCAAATTCGCCAGTTCACCACTTTCGGCCAAGCGAAGCAACTGTTTAGCTCTTTTGAATCTATTTTCTTTCTGTTGTGGTATAAGTTCTTGCACTTTTTGGAATTTCAATGGCTATACTCCGAGCTCATTTTTTAATATTTGCCGAATGGAATATTCCGATATGTTCAGCTCACGAACCATTTTTCGGCCACTGCGACTCGGGTTTCTATTAAAACGCTTCTTTACTTTACCAACCATTTCTACGGATGTTGCTGTTTTCTTCCGTCCACTTTCTTGACGTCGGGCTAAGCTACCAGTATCACGGTAACGAGCAATGGTACAATACACAAAAGATTTATTCAATTTTAAATTCTGGAGTGCTCTAACGATAGCCACTTGTGGTTTTCCAACCAAATATAAAGAAATCACACTAACACGCTTGAATTCCATCACGTAGAACTTTTTTTTTTGGAAAATTCTCATCAAATTGCTCTTATACGCATGTAAACAATATAATGAGCTGTCAGTGGAATAATTTTAATAGCTGTCGGACGAGTGGCTTAGAAATGACAGCAGTCTGAATTTGGTTGCAGTTTTTTCAGCTCACCCTGTATATGAGGTAAATTGTTTTTTAAACACTTTTAGATTTTGTGTGGGAGCTACCAGAAGGAGTGGACCTATATTGCTCATCTCCTAATTCCACCTAAGCTTGGAATGATGTACAATGTTTGGACCAAATCAGATACATGTTTCTACTTTTATCGTGCGATCCAGACAGACAGATGCAGTTTCAAATGATATATACTCCTGTAGCCATATGGCTAAGGGTATAATATCTCCAAACCTAGCAAAGACAATGCATTCGATTTTCTGACCATAAACTGGATTTCTAACTGAATGTGTGGTCCTTTAAATAAGAGTCCTACCCAAAAATTGTATTTGAAATTCAATAAAAATATATCCAAAACTGTCCTTTGTTTATTTAAGTACTTCTATTTCAATTTAATTATAATAAAATAACTTCATTTCATTTATAAAATGTAACCAACATAAACACCTTCTCCTCCTCCTCTACCCGTACGTTCAATTTGCAACAATGCCTCACCCTAGCTTATCCCTTAAGTGGATACCGTTGTTAATGGTTTTAGCATATGCTACAATTTTTTCAAATTCTTAACATAATTTTATGCAACCCACCCATACTAATGGGACAAAAAACATATTCCCATATGACTTAACCCCAGCTAAGGGAATGGGTGTAAATATGACAATACATGTGAGTGACAAAAATTTATATTATTTGTATAATATGTGCATATTTTAACAATTCCCTTCCCCTGCACAGCTAGCAAGTAGCACTCTCAAACTTCGTCTTGTGCAGTCAGCGAATTTATGTTCGGTTTATGTATGGAATTACAAACTGCTGTCGCCGTTGTTGAAAATCGGCTATCCTTTGAATGTAACAATTAAGTACGTTTGAAGTACATATTACATACACGGACTAACTGGAAATTATGTATGCTATACAATATAACTATTTATACATATCTATGTATGTATATATAATTTATTGATTATTTCAAATTATATATCAGATTCAGCATATCTTTTGTCTTTGTGACCCATACTCTGCGGATGCCAGCATGGAGAATAGATACAATGCATTATCCTAAATATGTATGTATATAGCCAATGGACAAAGATTTATGTACGTATGTAATATATGTTTATATGCTCTGCATGTCTATGAACCCATTGAAATTTCGATAATACTTTATAATCATACAGCAGACACCCAAGCACCCAGCAAGCAGCCAGCCCATTGATACATCTCAGCCCCAGATAGATGGATTGACATAGATTCTCTTTTGTGTGACACAAAAGACCAGAGGAGACCATGTGAGAGTGAAGTGCAAAATAATAACAATAAATGATAATAAAAAATAAATAATTCTGCACATTATGTGGTAGCAAATAAATAAATAAAAAATAAAAGTAAATATGGCTCGAAAAATACTGCCTCTGTACACACAAACAATTTTGGCATTTTGCATTTTTATTGTTTTTTTATTCTCTTTTTTTTCAATGATATTTTATGTGAGTGTGTGTGTATGTGTGATGCAGCAGAACAAAACATTACATCATTTGACAATAAATCATTGTTAATTGCACATTGGAGAGCGAAAGTATGTGTTACAAATCCTTTTGTTTAACACAATATATGCCAATTATGTAGATATTTAAAGCATTTGGGCCTTAGCTGTAAGGACTGTCCTGGAAAGAATGTGGCTAAAGTGATTTTTATAAAAATTCATATTTTTATTATTTTTATCAATGAGATTTGGCCTACATATCCTATCGAGAGATACAGTTATACGATGTCAACGACTAAACGTCGACCGTTATGTATTATTTTCTATACCGAATATCGTAGCTGGAATATAATCATACAAAATATGTACCACGATTTCAAGAGATGAACAAATAGACGGATATGGATAAGTCCATATGGAGTTGAATGCTGATCGAAGACATATACTTATTCCGATAAATAATTTAATGACGAACTTTGAATACCCTTCATCATTTGGGACGAATTAGGAAATTTTCAAAAAATAAAATCCATTAAAAATTCTGTTAAAATCTTAAAAATACCGAATATCGGAAGGTGCCGATATGTGGGGCTATACGATATCGTAGTCGTATATAGACAATTTTCTGTCAAGGGATAAAGTACTCACAAGGTACTCCTTGTGTGAATTTTCAGACAATTCCATTGAAAAATGTGGCTAAAATCCTCAAAATACCGAATATCGGGGGTACTGTTATTGGGGGCTATACGATATCGTGGACCGATATAGCCCATCTTCGAACTTGATCTGCCTGCAGACAAAATACAGATCTGTGCAAAATTTTGGCTTCCTATCTTAATTCGTTTTGACTGTAGCGTGATTACAACAGACGGACGGATGGGCA